TGTTGTCTCCAGTTGTTCAAAAGACATGCGCTAGAAACTCCATTGCATCCAGAATCCCAGCACAAGCAACCTCGAGCAGTTCCTGGTAGCCCAGACTATTCGCTGTAGCAGCATTTCAGAAAGGGGCAGGGCAGCGTGGCCCACCGTTCGCTGTTGTCTCCAGTTACAGACATGCGCCAGAAACTCCATTGCATCGAAAAACCAATCACGAGCAACCTCGAGCAGTCCCTGGTAGCACGGACTATTCCCTACAGGTGGGGTGCTCGGCGTTCCAGAAAGGGGGCAAGGCAGCGCGGCCCACCGTTCACTGTCGTCACCAGTTGTTCAAAAGGCCAAAGTGAGGCGGTCGAAAGCACCAGCGGCCATGGCGGCGTGGTGGATGGGTTAGTGGTTGCTTAGGGGGGGTGACAAGGAAATATCACAACATGGGGGTCTATAGGTATCCGGAGACCGTGCTCTGGCGCAGCAGACCGGAGTGACGGAGGGTAGGACCGAGAGTGACGACCCGAGAGAGAAAACGCAGTCAAGGCAGGCAGCAGGAACAGCAAGGAAGTTCAGTGCAGGCAGTGCAGTGAAACAAGGAGGCAAGGAAAGCAGTGCAAGGGAAAACAGTGCAAAAGGGTTTTTTGGTTTTGTCTTGCAGCCAAGTTGCCGATCCTTAGTGGGCCCTGCATTTTGCACACTGGGCCACTACTTCCTGTGCACTCCGGGTTTATGCGCACTGGGACTCTTCAACCTCGACAACGTCATGCAGGTCTACTACATGCTTGTGCTTACCGAAAAAGGTATGCAGGCTCTGCTGTTTAAGACGCGGTAAGGACCCATGCAAAGCAACATGAAGTTCCAAATGGGACGGGAGAGGGAACCTGAGGTTTCGAAGATGTTCCTGAACTCCCAAGGTTAGGACCGAAGCCTGAAGTACCGAAAAAGCAACGAGAATGAGGCGTTCCTGGGACCTGTCGGGGTTTGCAACGTGGCCTGCATGTAGTACTTTACGAGCGTTGAATACAAGAGGTTTGCGGAGGCTTTCAACTCTGCCCCACAGCTGGGTACCTTGATGCTCCTTGGGGACAGTGCCTCGAGGGTCCTGTATCCAAAGGCCGTCGCCGTGCCAGTCGGGAGTATCGAGGGCTACAACAAGGGAGGGCGTGGGTGCATTCCGGGTATCACGATGAACACGATCAACACAGCCGCGTCGAACAACATAAGTAGTGTAGTTATGTAGCGGGGCAATCCATTTGAGATGCTGGTTGATGACTAGATTGAACAACGGCATATCAAGTGAGTGTGTTAGGACCGAGTCACGGCATCTGGGGCTAGCTCCTCCTACTACGTAGGTGCCAGTTCCTCGCTCAGCACGTTTGCGAAAGGTGGATGGTATCATGTGAAACATGCGAATGATGTCTAGTTGGCATGGCGGTCTGTCCAATTGGAGAATTCGCAAGGCTTCAGCTTCGACATGTCGGATTCTATGATCACTGTGGTCGGGGTGCAGCGACGGGGGCGGGGGATCGGCACATGCATGACAGGATGTGGTTGTTTGGTTCCCTTCCTGGCAGAGCCTCGTGCCTGGTTCATTGCATGGCCTCGGGGTCCTCAAATCAATAACCTGTCCTAGGGACGGTTGAAGACTAGGAAAAATCATGTGACTGCACTGCATCCGGAAGGCTAACCCTACCTTTGAACCGACAAGTCTGAAATTCAAGCACAGCACGTGTACTCAGCTCGGCCAGCTTCCACTGTCTGTCCCTAAACGCATGAAGTGACGCCCACACGGTCTCTCTTTTTTGCTGTGGGCCGTTGGCAAGGAGTCGCACAGTGCAAGTGGCAGCAAGGAAAAGGAAGCAGACAGTGCAAGTAAAGTACAGGGCAAGGAAGGCAGTGCAAAGGCAGTGGCAGGCAGCAGCAGTGCAGTGGCAGCGTGGTTCGGCCCCGGATACAAGGTAGAGCTAGCTGGCACTTCATTAGGGAAATCATCATGGGTCGCACCAGCTGCTACGGCAATCCGCTGAAAATGACACTGCGATTTCAGGCCATGGCTCCACCGTGGCTACTATGCACAGCATCAGTCTACATGTGTTGTGAGTGCTGTTGCAAGGCCGTGGCCAGAGTGTCCATACTGGTGACGATCACTGGTGCCGGTCTCGCGCTGGATGAAGGTCTGTCCCACTCCGTGTAGACTGTCGGCGTGTGGGCGGGGGCCGGTGGTGGTCCTCTCTGTACCCAGCCATGCGGGCCCAGGTGCGGGGCCGGCTGCATAGGCGGCGGCTGGTTCGGCCCACTCGATCCCTGAGTCGGTCGAGGTGGAAGGGCGCTCAGGACCTTTTCCACTCCGCCCTGGACCTCGTTGAGTAGGCGTAGTCGCTGCCCCATCACCGAGCTGTGGTTCTCCAGGGCGGTGGAGACGTCGGTGAGCTGGTCCACCAACCCTGTGCACGTACTTTCAATCTTTTGGGCCCGATCCGCCAGGGCTTCTTCCTGGCCTGCGACCCACCTGAGGAGCTTCTCCGACTCCTCGACCACGTTCTTGAGCTCTGTCTCCCACGGGCTGGGGTTGCCTTTGGCGATGACGTTCAGGGCCTTCTCGCTGAAGTCCGAGGCCTGCGAACACGTCTTTTCCAGGCCGCGCACCAAGGCCACGATGTTCCGGATGTCTCCCTGGAGGGCGGCCTTGTGCTTCTCACCGTCGTTCTTGGTTTCTTCGAGCTTGTCCTTGAGGCGGACGATCAGGGCGTGGTCATCTCGCATATACCCGAGAGCCTGGTCGACCTTGGCAAGCAAGTTGGCCAGCTGGTCCTTGACACCATCAAACTTCTCCTTGAAGGGCGCTATGTCCACCGTTACCCGGCGGGTCTTCAGGGCCGTGGCGGATGTGCTCAGTTCCATGAGCGTGTCCTGGAGTGTCATCATTCTCGTTTCCAGGGCCCCTTTGACGTCCTTCAGGAACTGAGCCGTCGCATCCGGAGTCAACTGCTGGAGGGACCCCATGAGTGAACCAAGTTCCTTGAGGAGTGCAGAGATCTCGGTGCCTGAGACGTTGCCGATATCTTTCACCCCCTGGTCCAATTGCTGCAGCAGGGAATCGTGGCTGGTTGTTGTACTCGTCAACGAAGTCACATCTTGCTGCAGTTGCACCAGTAGGGAGCCGTGGTGTGTGACTGCTCCTGAAAGAGTAGTCATGGATTCCTGGAGGGAGGTCAGGAGGCTCGGGACCATGTCGTCCAGGGCTTGCAGGCTTTGTCGTATAGCCGTGAGTCCTGGTGTCGAGTCCCCAGTCGGGTGAGGCCCCACCCCTATCATCTGCTGCAGGTCGTTGCAAAGCGCATGGCTCAGGCTGCGGCGCAAGAAGTAGTAGAAGAGCAGTACCGACAAGGTAGCCATCACAAGCGTCAAGAGCAGCTGCTGCGGCGTCAAAATTGAGTGCAGGCTAAGCACGGGTACTGCTTGAGCGCGCTCCAAGAAGTCTTGGACCTGCTCCGTCACTGGCTCCATCTCAACAAGGAGGGGGCGCGAGTAGGGAGGCTGGGGATGCTTGGACCAGAGTCGCTACAGAACTGCCAGATGACGAGGCTGAGAAGGTCTACAGGGGGCATGTGAGGTAGTAGTAGTCGTAGTAGTAGTAGTAGTAGTAGTCGTAGTAGTAATAGTAGTAGTAGTAGTAGGCCTAGTAGTAGTAGTAGTAGTAGTAGTAGTAGTAGTAGTAGTAGTAGTAGTAGTAGTAGTAGTAGTAGTAGTAGTAGTAGTAGTAGTAGTGGTAGTAGTGGTAGCAGTAGTAGTAAGTAGCAGTATAGTACTGTAGCAGCAGCATGGAAGTAGTAATCAGAACAATTTAGTTAAACCACTCCTATGGATGACTGCGGCGACACCTACGAAGGGCTATGGCTCGACTTGGCCGAGTTTCCCTTCCGCGCACCTTCCGCGAATTGCCAGTACCCACCCACAGTTTGTGCCGCCAACGACAACGCTTCGGAACTGGCAATCTTCGTGCTCGTAGTGGTCGTGGTGACGGTAGGAGTACAAAGATCCCCCATGGCAATAAGCAAAGCTTACAGCGAGACTGCGAAGTTTCGGACGTAGCGGAGACAAAGATCCCCCAATGAGCAAAGCTTACAGACTGCGAAGTTTGGGACATGGAGTGTAATTGTCTGTATACTCCTTTAGGCTTCCGATCTTATCTGTGTGTTATACTGTTATAATGTAAATACCGTATCTTGCAAGCTTAGCTTATGCTCTACAGCCTGTTCATGATTCAGACCTTCCGCGGGAGCTTCCGCAGCCACATCGCTTTCGCAAACCCTTCCGCATCCTTCCGCGCCGACAGTCCCAAGCCCATTTCAGGATATCCAAGAGGAATTATTTCCACGTTAAGTAGCGGTAGATCTTCCCAAACAAAACCGCAGCCCGCGAGTAGTTTACAAAAACCCTGTTTGTTTCACTCCTTCCGAAATTACAAAACACGCGGGTGGCGCAACGCAGGTGTCATAAAACGCCCAAGCGCCTCAGCGCGCGGTAGCGTAGTAGCAGTAGTAGTGGTAGTAGGTAATAGTCGTCGTCGCAGCAGCAGCAGCAGCAGCAGCAGCGGCAGCAGTAAATGTCGTAGTCGTCGTAGTAGTAGTAGTAGTAGTAGTAGCAGCAGGAGTAGTAGTAGTAGTAGTAGTAGTAGTAGTAGTAGTAGTAGTAGTAGCAGTAGCAGTACTGCCCGTAGTACTAGTAGTGGCAGGAGCAGTAGCAGTGGCAGGAGTAGCAATGGGTTTTGGCGTAATTTGGTGGCATAGTGTAGTAGCAGGTAGCCAGAGCTGAGGTCATGGTGTTGGTGGTGGTGCTGGTGGAGGCGGTGGCGGTCGCAATTACAACAGAAGTCTCCTGTCGTAGCGCAGAAGTGGTTGGCACGCATGCTGCTGAATAGGCTACGTGTAGGTAAAACCCCACTGAAGAGACTGGTAGCAACACACTGGATTGACTTTAAACGCGTATCAGAAAGCCCAGTCTTGGCAAGTGACATGTAGCTGACAACGAAGCTTAGGACGAAAGGGGCGCCGTACTTCTCTGCCAGAATGGAGGTAATGGATTCCCCATTCTTGGTGACACATTCCTCGGGTGGCGAACCCCACGTGTCCGTGACGGATGACATTTTTGGGCATATGTGTGCTTGCCAGAAATCTGCAACAAACATACATCCAAACTGCCACCCGGGATGTAAAATTAATCAATTCGCACAAAGACCTTGCTATCCTGCAAGGTTCCAGACTTGGCTTTGCGTTAGGCACGGTAGAAACCTGCACAGGTTGAAGAATCCGAAAACAAAGGCGCTTCCAGAAACTACCACTTTGACGCCCGCCTTCCCAGCTGTCGGTGAGCGAATTAATCCGTCGACAACTAGCAGAGCAACGTCAAAGACAAGCCCGAGGACTACGACGGCTTAGTGCAGGAAGGGCATCTCCAGTGAAGCATCGGAAAGCTGTAAACATGGACATCGGTATGTTGTAGAAGTATTCCTGCAGCCAACAAGTCATGTTGTTAAGCACGGCAACAAGTCTCATCGAACATGTAGTGTAGTGGCACTGTCTGACGCTGCTGAGATGACAGCTACGTGTCAGAAATGTGCGACTCAAGTGTCGCATCGGCATCCTGCGACATTCCCATTGCAAAAATCGGGCGCACTGTTGTGATTCGTAATGGGAACAGCTTGGAAAAGCTATGCCAAGGTCGTCGACGAAGCTACTGTCATACAAACTTCACCAAAGTTAGAGCACTGAGTCAATCATGCCAACAAGCCATTCAGCGGTTGGTATAGTGTTGGCTTTAACTGACGACACCGAGATCAGCCACGCGCAATACGCAGTCAGCACGATCTCCTACGTGTACGCGAAACATGACGAGTCTCCGCTACCAGTAAGGCTTCTCCAAGTCCGTGCCTCCACGAAGCCCTCGCGCCGCTCTGTAGCATTGCGCAACTCGTCAATTTGATCCAACTGACATGTGCCTTCTAGAACCACCCGACCATTCACCCAAGTAGGGCTCGGAGCCAAAGCATTGACGGAAAGTCCTCGCTTATCCCTCGCAAATCATTGCTGTGGCCCAAGATCATCGTGGCAAAACCGGCAATGACATACCTGAGCGCTTCTTCTACAGAAGCTGCTCGACGCTTGGGTTTCCAAGACATTCCAAGACCATTCAAACGAGGCTCGGATTCAATAGTCCAGCCCTGAACACAGCAAACAGAATCTGCAAGCGTTCTTCTCTGGTCTCCAACACAATGCCGCAATGTATTGGACCATATTGGACCACAGAAGCCTCCAAGGGAACAGCCTCCAACCAGCAAATGGTTACCATGCAAGCTTGGAAGGCTCAGTGCCCTGTGTTGACTAGCAAACTCTACATGCCGACGTGCTGCAACACGGCGAAAAGCAGCACAAAGGCAAGAGACAGGGTCCAAATACCTGCGATGAGTCCTTTAACCATAAGCCGCAAGTCTTTCCTTAGCATCGGAACATTTGACAGTGCAGACACGGTGCGCCATGCGTACTGGCGAATCGACGAATTGATGATCGGACGATTGCACAGCAGCACTACCAGTTGGAATGAATAGGTCAATAGGTATGAGGCAACAAACGTGGCGGAATTGAACAGTATTCGCTCTGAAACGTCAGGGGCATACAAGCACGATCGGAGCACGAGTCAGCCGTGCTCAAGTCACTTGCCCACATCATGCCGGGTCTCATCAACTTCAAGCGGAAGACCTTCCTCAGTCTTGTGACATGCTGCCTCGTCTGTCGGAATGCGGCTCTTCAGCACGTGCGACTCCAACGTCAACCGCGCGTTCAAAGAACTCATAAACTTCTCAAAGCCTCAAGCCTCAGGCAGGTGCCCTGCTTGCTGTTGGGACGCTGGAGTCCTGGATGTATGTTACACGTTGCACTATCGACGAGCATCTTATCTAGGAAAGCCTTCCGGAGAACAACGAGCTTGTTTTCAATGCTGCGGTGATTGCGTTTGACATTGGTTGCAAAAATGTCGGGTGCCTTCAAGTGCTGCAAGCGAATGCAGGCTAGCCTCACAATTCGCGCAAGCCGCAATAGTCGGCAGAATCTAAGCAAAGACGCACCTTCGATAGCTTCAATCTCTGAAGCAGACCTTGGCAGTGCTTGAAACTGCTGCGAGCCAAAGGCACGAAAACACACGCATACATGCAAAAACACGCGTACACACACAAACAAACACATCTGTACAAACAAACGAACAAACAAACATACACACAAGCGAATAAACAAGCGAACACACAAGCACACGCACACACTGAAAAGAAAATAACACATGCGGCATGTTCGATATATGAAAATTGAACTGTATTGTACCGTATGTATTGTATTGTATGAAGTGTATGTATGTATGTATGTAAATTATGCATGTATGCATGTTGGTATGTATGCATGTATGTAGGTAGGTATGTGTGTATTTGCATACATACATGCATGCATACGAACATGCAAACAGGCAGGCCGACAAACAAGCAAACATCTGTATTACATATACGTATGTATCTGTATAGCCGTGGGCAACCTGCCATCATAGGAAAGATCACTGATAAGTGATTCGGACAGACTGACGGGAGAGACTTTGGACAAGGGGGCGTATTATAAGCATTGTCTTTCTCTCTGTCTGCGCGCTGCCTGTCCGAGGCTGAGCGCTGCCCAGCACGGAAGGACAAGCAAATCGTAGATGTGAAATGAAAAAAATAAGCCCCTAGGTCATGACCACATCGGTTTTCAAACTGAAAGGCAACACCGCACTGCGGCTGCTCTGAAGTATTCGATGACCTATTCGATGAGGCAATATACTGACCATCTTAGGCGAAAGGAGCTTCGCGGTTGTTTGCATCATAGCGAACCTCCATAAGGCAGACCCGGACAATCAGACGGCTTCGATTTATGTGTCAAGCTGCCAGAGCAAACCGAGAGAAGTGTCGACAATGCCGGTGCACATCAGGACCATGTCGAACCAGTTCCAAGTTCCTGACGACGAAGGCGGCCAGGCGCAACAGCGGACTGTATGTTCGAGATGACCTCTGAATCTGCTTTTGTTCGAGATGCAGGCGACGATCCTCATGCCAGAAAACCAAGTGAAAGGTAGCACTACTAATTGCTGCTTCGCATGGTTGTAGATATTCTGCCGATGACGAGGCAGACACCATAATCATGACATGCAGATGATGATGGTGATGATGATGGTGATTGTTGCGGTGAAGGCGATGGTGGCGACACTTGACCAAGCCATGTCGATGAGTTGGGTCATGAAGACGATGCAGGTGGCGATGTTGATGATGGCGGCGATGGTGGAGAGAATGATGATGCCAGTGGCTAATTAAGTACATCACGAGGAAGACTCTTGCTAGATCCTGCTTGCTGCTGGCTGTTGATGATGTCAGCATTCAAGATTAGGCTTCACATATATATATATATATATTTATATCTATATTTATATTTATTTGTATTTTTATTTATTTATTTACATATAGTATATACATAGATATATACACATGTTACACCCCCCCTCAGTGACCTACCGTTTTCGGCTTGAGCATGAAGAAGTACGAGGGCCATGTGATGCACAGAGTTGTTGCGGAAGACAGAAAGACTTGTGTGTCAAGACACGAAAACAAATCCCAAGACGACCGGTGCTTTGTTTGCTTTGTGCCGGACGCCGGTGCCTTCAGAGATGGTTGATACAAGCGGTGAGAAAGCAAGTTGGTTGAATGTGGAAGTTTATGAATGTTGAACGAAGGGCGTGCGGGCGTGCGGGGCGTGCGGGGCGGGCGTGCGGGCGTGCGGGCAGGCGGGCGTGCGGGCGTGCGGGGTGCGGGCGTGCGGGCGTGCGGGCGTGCGGGCGCGCGGGCGTGCGGGCGTGCGGGCGTGCGGGCGGGTGGGTGGGTGTGTCTCTGTCTGTGTGTGTGTGTGTGTGTGTGTGTTTGTTTGTTTGTTTGTTTGCTTGTTTGCTTGTGTGTGTTTGTGTTATTCTGCTGTACATGCGACAAACCTTGATTTACATGCTCGCTTGCCTGATGTTTTCCTTTCTGCAGATTTCTTTTGATGTTTGCAGGGGTACATGCGACAAACCTTGATTTACTTGCTCGTTCGCTTGAAGTTTTCCATTGTGAAGATTTCTTAAAAGTTTGCAGGGGGACGGAGGGGGTGCAGGGGAGCTCCGTCCAACGAAGCTTTCCCCTACACCCTAGGAAAACGTACCTGCTTTGCCTGCGCCTGGGCCCCGTCGTGGGCAGCTGGCGAGGCACTCATTGTCGTTCATCTATCATCTCATTTCATGCTACGTCATTCCTTTGTGTCTGGCGTAGCAAGGGGCCGAAACCATACCCCTCATGGATCATTTCATCTTGTTGTATTGCGGACATGTCCATACATGGTTGCCATTTGCAGCATTGAGCAGTCATGTATATTGACCTCTACATCAAAAAGGTGGGACTGCAGAGAGCCTCCTCAGTTGTGTTCGGCAAAGGCTCCCTCATGAGGGCCTTGTCGTTATTCGGCGAAGTTGCCGGCCCACCGGGGTGCTTGTGTTAGCAGTTCTGGAGATCATTTCCGTCTCACAACATGTTCAAGTGGAGATCACTGAGCGGAAATCACACTTCCGGAAATCAGAGTGGAGTGGCGTCCGGAGATCACTGACGACTGCATGTGTTTTCATGTTTAGGCATTTTCTGGCTTGAGACTCGCGTTCAAGTGTTGTTTCAGCAGACCAGATACATGCAGATCAGCTCTTGCTTGGCTTGTATTCCGGAGTGCAGTCTCGAGGAAGGCTGCAATTTACAAAGAACACATTCCGATTCCCTGGACTTACAAAAATGATCGTTCGAATGTTACATTGTACTCCCCAATTCTCAGATTTGGCCGTCACAAGTATTCAGATCAATCGATGGATAGCCGCCATTTTGGCGGGAGCGAAAGAAGGTACGATCTACAAGTCGATCGGTGAAATTGTATTCTGTCATGCACTGTTCGGAAAGTTGCGAGATGAAGAAGTCGACTTGGATGAGCTTGCTTCTATTGTGCCTGGTACCAGTGATCCCGCGGGTGAGACGAAGAGATGTCTTATGCAGGCCTTTCAGAAAGGCAAGCCGTCGGAGAATCCTACAGAATCGTTGAGAGTTGGACATGTGGAGCATGAGACGCCAGGTCGCAGCTCGGAAGGTCCTCAGTTCGAATATGGAACTTCGTCGCATGTTGGACATGTTGTGAAGATTGTGCTCACGGATAAATCCAAGCGCCAGTTCTTGACTCGTTGTTGGAAGACCTGCAAGTCGGACAAGGAGGTGTCGACCTGGATAGACGGCTTGACATTGAGCAAAGCCAACCGTACGAAGTTGACGACATAGACATCACACATTCAACGATGGCATGCGGATCTCCCTGCCATTGAAGAGTTTAGGCCTTATAGCCGGTTGCTCGTTGTCACGGTGATCGCGACGGATCCACATGTACGTGTGATCATAATGTTTACGCCTGTGCTTGGATTGAGCACTGCAACAAATCTGGAGCCAATGCGTGAGTGCATGATGGAGTTGGGCTTCAGTCAGTTGTCGGTTGTTTCCACACATGCTGCGTTATGGCATTGAGGCAAGCCTCAAAGCAACAGTCGAGTGGATTTAGGGGTTGGAGACTTTTAGGTCTGTACGTGCAAGTGATGTGCAAGGGACGTGCAAGTGATGTGCAAGGGAGGTGCAAGTGACGTGAAAGTGACGTGCAGCCGACGTGCAAGTGACGTGCAGCTTACAGCAGGGGTCGTCTGAATCCTTCACCCTTGTGGTTTACGAGTTTTGACCTTATAGTCGGTTGCACGTCGTCATGGTGATCGCGACGGTTCCACATGTGCTTGTGATCACAATGTTTACGCATGCGCTTGGATTGAGCACTGCAGCAAATCTGGAGCCAATGCGTGAGTGCATGATGGAGTTTGGCTTCAGTCAGTTGTCGGTTGTTTTCACAGACGCTGCCCAAGTACGTCATGCAACGATGGAATGGAATTATTCGTCAGGGACGATCGAGGTCGCTGCTTTATCAAGGTTGGAATTCGTACTGGGTTCGCCATATTGCAGAAGGCAAGCCGACTTTCCTCGCAGGTTTCGCTACGGCATTGAGGCAAACCTCAAAGCAACAGTCGAGTGGATTCAGGGGTCGGAGTTTGTAGTTCTGTAGGTGCAAGTGACGTGCAAGGGACGTGCAAGTGATGTGCAAGGGAGGTGCAAGTGACGTGCAAGTGACATGCAACAGAGGTGCAAGTGACGTGCAGCTTACAGCAGGGTTCGGCCATGGCTAAGGCAGACGTTGATGCGTGAAGAGGATATTTATTTATTTATTTGGATGGACTTGCTCGCATTGTACATGGCGCTCAGATCAATGCATCGGGAAGCAATCTCTCCGACGCGAAAGCCCAGGCTGCACAGAAAATCTTAAGCCGATGGCCAAGTGGATTAAGAGGTCGAACACTCGCTGGTCGCAGGTCGCCACGGTGATCGCAATATTATGCATGTGCTTGGATTGAGCACTGCATCAAATCTGTAACCAATGCGTGAGTGGATGATGGAGCTCGGCCTCAGCCAGTTGTAAGTTGTTTCCACATACGCTGCGCTACGGCATTGAGGCAAACCTTAACGCAACAGTCGAGTGGATTTAGGGGTTGGAGACTTTTAGGTCTGTACGTGCAAGTGATGTGCAAGGGACGTGCAAGTGATGTGCAAGGGAGGTGCAAGTGACGTGCAAGTGACGTGCAGCCGATGTGTAAGTGACGTGCAGCTTACAGCAGGGGTCGTCTGAATCCTACACCCCTGTGGTTTAAGAGTTTTGATTTTATAGTCGGTTACACTTTGTCATGGTGATCGCGATGGTTCCACATGTACTTGTGGTCACAATGTTTACGCATGTGCTTGGTTTGAGCACTGCAGCAAATCTGGAGCCAATGCGTGAGTGCATGATGGAGTTTGGCTTCAGTCAGTCGTCGGTTGTTTTCACACACGCTGCGCTAAGGCACTGAGGCAAACCTCACAGCAACTGTCAAGTGGTTTCAGGGGTTGGAGACTTTTAGGTCAGGTCTGTACGTGCAAGTGATGTGCAAGGGACGTGCAAGTGATGTGCAAGGGAGGTGCAAGTGACGTGCAAGTGACGTGCAGCCGACGTGCAAGTGACGTGCAGCTTACAGCAGGGGTCGTCTGAATCCTACACCCTTGTGGTTTAAGAGTTTAGACCTTATAGTCGGTTGCACGTCGTCATGGTGATCGCGACGGTTCCACATGTGCTTGTGATCACAATGTTTACGCATGTGCTTGGGTTGAGCACTGCAGCAAATCTGGAGCCAATGCGTGAGTGCATGATGGAGTTGGGCTTCAGTCAGTTGTCGGTTGTTTCCACACATGTTGCGCTACGGCATTGAGGCAAACCTCAAAGCGACTGTCGAGTGGACTCAGGGGTCGGAGTTTGTAGTTCTGTAGGTGCAAGTGATGTGCAAGGGACGTGCAAGTGATGTGCAAGGGAGGTGCAAGTGACGTGCAAGTTACGTGCATGTGACGTGCAGCGTACAGCCGGGGTCGATGTCGACCTGGATGAGCTTGCTTTCATTGATGATCTCAATGTACGTCGCATTGTTCACCCACTGTGAAGTGAAGGTGCGATCCGGACTTGACTTGATGGTGCGACACGGGAACAAACGCAGTGCTTCGACATGCGGTCTCAGGAACGTCTGTGAGTGCTATGATCATCGATTGCTGCAGGAAGTGATGAGCTGAGATTGTATCCTTTGCCCCCCTTTGGGGGCTGTTTGTGTTATTCTGCTGTACATGCGACAAACCTTGATTTACATGCTCGCTTGCCTGATGTTTTCCTTTCTGCAGATTTCTTTTGATGTTTGCAGGGGTACATGCGACAAACCTTGATTTACTTGCTCGTTCGCTTGAAGTTTTCCATTGTGAAGATTTCTTAAAAGTTTGCAGGGGGACGGAGGGGGTGCA